AGACACATAGTTTTTAATCCATCATTTATAAGAGCATTAGACGTTGTAAGAAAAAAAAAAAAACCCACCTTATTTGAAAAGTGGGCAAATGGCATGAACAGGCAATGCACAAAAGAAAAAAATATATAAAGAAAAACAAACACATGGGGAAATGTCCAACCTCATGGTAACCAAAGACACACAAATTAAAATCGTGTGTGTGTGTGTTTTCCAGACGAATTGGCAGAGATGAAAATAAAGAGTACTGATAGCAAATGGGTCCTGTTGTTTTTTTCGAGGATGTGGTGAGACAGTAGCTCTCAGATTCTGCTGGGAGGGCCTGGAAGCTAGGACTGCCTTTCTCCAGGGCAGTTCGGCAGTTTGGATCCTGAGTTAAACATACGCGGATCCAGAAGTTACCCCAGGCATGCCATCAGAGCAGAGCACAAATGCGCAGGTCCAAAGGTGGTTATCGTTGGTGTTTGTAATGGTGGCAAACCCAAAACAACTTAACTGCCCAGCCCCTGGGGAGGCCCGGCTTTGAAATGCACCCACTGGGGATTCCAAAGAGCCCATTGCGCAGACACATACAGGGGAGACTAGACAGCCTTTCACAATCATGCAGAACAGTATCTGGCATTAAAAGATGTTCATCATCCTGGGAAAACAGGCCACGGAGGGAGATGCACGAGTATGATCCACGTCCGTAGGAAAGAATGACGGAGCTCCACAGCTGAGCAAACGTTAATTAAAGCCTGCAAGGGACGACCCCTGTGTTAACAGTGGTTGCTGCAAATCTGAGTGCGTTTTTTTCCTCTCTTTTCTGCTTTTGTTTATCAAGTGTCTGGCACTAAGCATTTCTTTAGACATTACATAAAATGCGATTTGAAACAAACTTAGCACAAAAGCAGGCGAAGCATGTTGAAGAGGGAGCAAGAGTAGACCAGATGGAAGCTGGAGTTATCCTAGAGGTCGGAGCCCACAGAAGCAGGTCACGGGCAACACGGGGTGGTCTGAGGGGGCCGCGCGGGATGCCCGGGGTGGGGGTGGGGGGTGGAAGGAAGGTGGGTCAGGACCAATATTTGACACCAAGGCATGGAGGATGAGAAGGATGCAAGCAGATGAGGAGGGGTCTGGGGAGGAGACTGTCTGACAAGCCATGGAGGGGGCAGGTGAGGGGTCCTCACGTATGCATGGCATGTTCTAGAAGCTGAAAAAAGCTGGGGACCTCTCAAGCATCAGAGCAAGGGAGGGGGGGCGGTGAGCAGAGCTAAGGAGAGGGTGTGGAGAGAAGCAGGACCAGCTTATTTGGAGCCCCGAGCGTGTGACAACCGACTTAGATTTTACCCAGAGGAAAAAACGGGAGGGCCATTGAAAGACTTTCAGCTGGTGATGGACATCCTCAGATTGGAGCCCAGAACTCCTGCTCTGGTGCCGGTGGCTGTGGGAAGGGAAGCAGGGCTGGGCAGGAGGGAAACCAGATGAGGAGGATGCCCAAGGAGAAGGTGGGATGGAAGCTGGTGCAGCCGGCCCCTGAGCCCTCGGTGGCTTGTGGAGCGGCCGCAGGAGAAGACAGCCTGGTGGCCAAGCTCAAGGGAGGGGGCAGTGTGCTGGGGCAGAGCAGAAAGCCCTGGAAACAATGCAGGAGTCTGCTCAGGCTGCTGTCACCGAAAACCTCAAGCTGGGGGCTTAACCAACACACATGTCTTTCTCACGGTTCTGGAGCTGGAAGTCCAAGGTCAAGGTGTCAGCAGGGTTGGCTTCTCCCAGGGCCTCTCTGCTTGGCTTGCAGACCACCTCTCCTCTGTGTGTGTGCGCCCCTGTGTGTGCAAACTGCCTCTTCTTATAAGGACTCCAGTCAGATTGGAGGAGGGCCCACCCTCAGAGCCTCATTTTGATGTAATCAGCTCTGTAAAGGCCATGTCCCCAAACACAGGCCTGTTCACAGCTGCTGGGTTAGGGCCTCTGCATATGAATGGGGGGAGGAACACCACTGGGTGCCTCGCAAGCAGGATTGGGGCAAAAGGAGGATGCCAGCCCCACCTCCCAACTTTAAGGGGTGTGTGTGTGTGTGTGTGTGTGTGTGTGTGTGTGTGATGGGGCGTGCGGGCCGGCAGCTTGGGGGATGGAAATGAACAGTCTCCCTATGAGAGGGAAGCAGAGCCCTTGGCTGCTGGGTGGCTAGTAGGTGCTTCTGAGTGCAGACAGGGGAGCCAAGGAGAAGCTCCCGGGGAAGGATTGCGATCCAGCAGTGGACATGGGGGGAAGCTGGGGACAGTCTCTCCTGGGGTCCAGCAGTGGA